GGGGCGCCCCCAGGAGGGGATTCCTGCCCCGGCAAGCCCAGCCTCCCCCAACCCCACCCTGCTCACCCAGGGGGTGAGGGGCCAAGTGGGTGGCAGGGGCCAAGACCCTCTCGGGTACCCCTGGGCCGGCAGCCCCCCAGGGGGAGAGCGGCCCAGGCCTGCAGGGAGCCCCCCGGCCCACCCACCCACCTGGGAGTGGGTGTGGCTGTGCTGCTCCAGGCTCACAGCGTGGCCGAAGGTCTTGCCGCAGACATCGCAGGCGAAGGGCCGGGTCCCGCTGTGGGAGCGGCGGACGTGCACCTCCAGCCCGTGCGGGGTGGAGAACACCTGGCCAGAGCGAGCATGAGGTTGCGGGGTGCAGAGGGGAGCCAGGCCGCCCGCTGCCCCAGCCCACTACGGGGGGGTGCGAGAAGGCGCCCCCGAGGGCCACTGGGGCTTCGCGTGTCCCGGGAGCCCCTTTCCCTCCGTGGCTCCGTCTTTGTCTGTGACAGGGGCCGGGAGAGGGACCTGGAAGGTTCCTCGGAGCCTCATCTAGAGGCTGAGCGTCTAGCGGTTGGAGCCCGCTGGCCTGAGCCAGGCTGGGTGCTGCTGGCTGTGCGCTCTCAGGCCGCCCAAGCCCTCGCTCCATCCCCGCGCCCACCCTCACTGGCCAGGCCAGGCTTGTGGAGTCCTTGATCCCCCCAGGAGCCTGGTCCACGCTGCCAGCCGGCACTGCAGGGGGCCCTCACCTTGCTGCACTTGATGCAGTGGTACATGTCCATGCCCGGGGAGTAGCGGAGGCTGAAGTCCAGGGGCGGCTCAGCGCTGGGCACCAGCGGGCTGCCGTACAGGCTGACGGAGCGCTCCAGGAAGGCGGACTGCATGGTGGAGGGCGCCTGCCGGTAGCTGTGGCTGTAGGAGGCCAGGGCGTCCCAGGAGAAGCTGGGCTTGTAGAACGGGGGTGAGTCGGAGGGGGGTGAGGCGCCTCCTTCCTGAGCTTGGGACCTCGCCAGAGGACCCTCTGTGGAAAGTGGCAGATTCCGGATGAGTCAGGAAGTTGGGTCCCGCCGCCCCTCCACTTAGTGGCATCATGCTAGGGGGTTGGTCTGTACCCCAAATATTCAGAGCGGAGGGTTTGGGTCTTCCCTGTAGCTTCCCGCGCTGCACCCCAGCCGCGCACTAGCCCTCCCGCCCGAAGCCTCATCTGGCAGCGAGACCCCAACCAGCAGGCGTCCAAGCGGAAGCCGAGAGCGGCTCTCCTCTGGGCGACAGCGAGGGGCCTTCCTGACCCCCGACAGCAAGGGTCCCAGGGCCGGGCGCTCTCGGGGTACCTGGGGCTGAGGCC